CAAACTGTTTTCATTAGTTGTTTCAGAAATGTGGTGTGTTTGAGGAAATGGGAAAAATAGGTTTCATGGAGCAGTCACACACTTCCTGGTCACAAAACTGCTGAGGTCATTACTCTGTGTGTGTTACTGGTGAGGTCATTACTGTGTGTGTGTTACTGGTGAGGTCATTACTCTGTGTGTTACTGGTGAGGTCATTACTCTGTGTGTTACTGGTGAGGTCATTACTCTGTGTGTGTTACTGGTGAGGTCATTACTCTGTGTGTGTTACTGGTGAGGTCATTACTCTGTGTGTGTGTGTTACTGGTGAGGTCATTACTCTGTGTGTGTTACTGGTGAGGTCATTACTCTGTGTGTGTTAGAGGTGAGGTCATTACTCTGTGTGTGTTACTGGTGAGGTCATTGATCACAAAAGGCTTTAGGTGGGCTTCAACAGGTAAATTCTTCACACTTGTTCCTTTCAGGAGGTCCTGTCGAGAAAGTTTTTCCTGGCGATGAAGTTGTAGAAATCCAACATGTCAACATGTTGGGTATGAGACGTCTGGAGGTCTGGACTTTCATCAGAAAACTCCCACCTGGACCGGTGGAGGTGGTTCTTCATCGTCCCCATAAACCTCAGCGTCCATGAGGGTTAGAAAGGCTCATTCTGCAAAGCACAAACCAAAACATCTTCACTTGAAACTGCCTGCAGTGGAACCAAACATAAAGAAAGTTTTAAATGCTTTAGATAACTGACTGTTGTGAAGTGGGCATGATGAGTGGAAACCAGATCACATGTCCTTTTTAACAGCTACATGAACCTCCAGGCCTGGGGTGATGCTACTGCAGCCATGATTAACTTGCACTTATAACTTCCTTGTTCATCAAATCAACCAACATTTTCCAGAGAGAAGTTTATAAATGTTGTAAAAGCTCTTAAAACCCCAGCACCTGTTGTAACATACTGTGAATAACTGCTTTTGTATTTTATATGGCTTTTTAATAAATGCTAAAAATAAAGTTTCAGTTAATTGTTCCTACTTTAACTAGAGAACGGGTGAGTTTTTTCCATGTCACTTCCCAGAAAAATAACTTTATGTGCAGTGGTGGGCACAGTTCTGCTAACAGCTATTAGCGTAGCTATCAGTTTTAGCAGAACAGAGGTTTTGCTAACTTTGGAAGCTGTTAGCAGGCTAATTAACCTTTGCTAAATTTATTTCTGCTAACCTTAATTTCAAACTCTCACAGGTGACGTACTCCTGCGTCATGTTTCATGCTCCATGTGTGTAGCATCTTTAGCATTGTGTGTTTCCTGTTTCTTTGGGATAATTTCAGGTACTTTTTTTTGTTACTAATTTTCTTGTTTGTTTCAGCTTTTTTTTAACCTATTCAGCAAATATCTTTCAGCAACATTCACAGTGTGTTCTCTGCAAAAGTGCAAATTCTCTAGTTAACTAAATATTTTGAAGTTTTCTCTTAACAGCTCCTTGTTCCTCCATAAGATATTTTCTGACTCCAAATTGAGATCACTGTCTGCTGCAGGTAAGATACTGCCAGCGTGTAAGTACTCCACAATGAAAAACTGAACTATCTCTGACTATGAAGCAGATATATATATTTTTTAATATTACATCTACCATCAGAATTCAATTTGAAAAGTCACCTTTGAGATTATTAGTTTTTGAATAGTAGAGAATGAAACATTTTGACCTGCCCTCTCATAAAGGCTTAGTGAATTTAATATCTTGTCAGCAAATTTACTTTGTAGGCACATGTAGCTCTGAGAACTATAATAATGTTAATAACTTTTATTTACCAGGTGAGTCGATCGAGAAGTTCTCAGTTCTCATTTACAATAACGACCTGGACAAGATGCAGCAACACAGGTATTATCAGCGAGCACATGTTGATAAAATAACTAATTATTAGGGTTATCTAAGTTGTTAAGAGTTCAAAGTTCATAAAGAAGGTTGTTCTGAAGTGCAGGTCTTTTCTGATGTAAGGAGTTTTGCTTTAGGAAAAAAGTGTGCATTTTTTTAAAGCAGATTAGTTGTAATAAAAGCTACAGATGAATTCTCTGGTTGTTTCTCTAACAGGCACAGAGCCAGCTGGAGGTTTGCAGCATCTCAAACTGATGAAAAAACATGATGTAATCATTAAAGTACTGATGCTCATTTGTCAATAAAATCTGAGAGTTAGCTTGTTGGTTGTACAAACATGTCTTATTACCCTCTTTTATAACTACTATATCCATATCTGATTCTACTATGGTCTTTGTTCTTATAATCTCTGACAGATGTGGCACATGTCGTCCTCTGCACCAGCCAATCCTGAGGCGTTACAGCTTCATTAATGACTGATAGTATTTTTTTTTTCTGGTGAGGAACAAAACCAAAGAGACGAAGAGTTTGCAGTGCAGTCATGCTGCAGAGGTTTATCTGAGCTTTAATTCCCCTCCCTGAGGACGACTTGCCTTCACTGAAGCTCCTGAGTCCGAGGTGGAGGGACGTCTAACTTAAACTCAGCCATGATGAAGCTGCAGACACTGAGAGTGAGGAATGCTTTGGTACGAGAATGCATGGCTGAGTTTCTGGGGACGTTTGTCCTGCTGGTAAGTCCCAGTCCAGTTTCAAGTCAGTTTTTAAAGTTCAAACTAATTCTATGTTGTGGATTGACTTTAAAAACCAGAGTCATTATCAGAAAAGATCAAATGTTTCCTGCAGGTCACAGAAAACATTCAGTTCATAAGAAATACTTTCACTAATCATTGCATGATTCATAATTCTTCAGATCAATTTGATTCAACTTGTAATTACTTCAAATTCAGGGGAAAGATGGGATGAAATGGAAAATTAAATAAGAAAACCTATATTTTCTTCCTTTTAAGAGCTTTATTTAACTGAGGACAGTTTAAACCTAAGATGTTTCAACTTATTTGTCAAAAGACTATTTTTAAATTCCCTGATTTTTAAACGTTTACACCAAAAAGCTTTGGAACATTTCAGCCTTTAACCCTTGAATGTTATTGTTTCTCCTCTTGACCATACAAAGTAATGAAGTGTTTTAATTATTGCTTTAATATTTTCTTAACTTGTTTAGTTTTAAAGTTTGTCACACAGAAACCATTGGGCAGATCAGAACTGCAAACACTGTGTTCATTCTCTTCAGTTCAACAAAAGTCATATTGTCCCGCAGCAATGCAACAAGGAAGTTTTTCTTTTTAAAGAAACCAAATCAAACCCACCATTACTACTGACTGTGGTTTTTTTAAAGAGCTGAAATACTCACTAATCTGACCAAAATACATCATTTTTCAGTAATCTGTTTCAGGCACTAGAAATAAATGACCAGTGTTTCCTTTTGGCTCATAGGTTTAGGTGACATTTATGAGTGCAGTGAAAGTCCTGCCTGGACTGTGATTATGTCGGCTGGTGATAAATAATGCTTCTTGATAAAGCGCGGCTCAGGAACAAAGATTAAGGCTGACCCACTTCAGGTCTTGCCTTTGCCCTGTTTGTTCTGAAATTCATCAAGATTCCTCAAATACATTTCACTTGGTGCACCATAGAATAAAAAATGTACAAATTCCTCCTGAAGGCATATACTCCTGGACCCCCTAGAACTGCTTCACTCCACAGCAGCTCATTAACGTGAACAGGTGTTCCTTGTTATTGTCAGAAGATGTTTTTAGTATGATAATTGGACAACCTGGTTTCTAAAACTAATATCAAATGAAAAACTATTTAATTTGGTATGTGAATTTTTATAAATTAGCAGTGAGATTTATAAAATTGCACATGGTGCCCCGCTGAGATTTTGCCCAGGGTGACAAGCAGGCTGGGGCCGGCCCTGTTGTTTGAAACAAAGTGACACGACTGTTTATTATTTGTCATTCTCCAACCTCCTCTGTTCTATCTCAACAGTTGTTTTGTTTTTATCATGTCAGGGGTTAAATTAAATATAAAACTTCTTTGTTTCTTCTATTTCTAAACAAGCCCATCATTTTTTCCTTGTATAATTATGAACTAAAGAGAAAAAACAGCGTTTTAGAGCAGCTTACAGCTCATATGACCTCAGTTTAAACAGAATCATATAAGAACGTTAATTAAAATTAAAACCTTAATTTTTTTTAGACTCAACTCTATCTGCTCATTTTGATAAATTAGCTGTGTGAGTCTGAATCTAATTATGAATGTTAGCTTTTAGCTTTTAGCTCACCCTGACGTTATTTTTGGCATCTAAATGTAATTTTTCTGTTTTGCACGAAGCTGTTCGGCTGCTCTGCAGCGGCGCAGGTGAAAACCAGCAGAGAGACTAAAGGCCAGTATCTGTCCACCAACATGTCCTTCTCTGTGGGCGTGATGTCAGCCATGTACCTCACTAAAGGCATTTCAGGTGAGGCTTTGTTGTTATAAGAGAAGAAGTCAGTTTATCATCCTGATCAACAGCAGGGAATAAAATCCACTCAGATTAATTAACTTTAACAGCAGGTGATAACTGACCTGTCTGACTCTGTAAAACACACATTCTAATGATCTGATGATGTCACAGAGATGATCAGAGAGCCAGTTAGACTCCTTTATTTTTATCTGTGGTGTTTTTCTCTTTTCTCCGTTTCTCCTCAGGAGCCCACCTGAACCCAGCAGTGACTCTGAGTTTCTGTGTGTTGGGGCAGGTTCGATGGGGGCGGCTGGTGCCGTACTGCCTCTCACAAATCCTGGGGGCGTACGTAGCATCAGCGCTGGTCTATCTGGTCTACTATGGTTTGACTCTTTATTATTGCTATTACTATTATTATTGTTATTATTATCATTGCTATTATTTTACTATTATTATTATTATTGCTGTTGTTGTTGTTGTTGTTGTTGTTGTTGTTGTTATTATTATTGGGGTATTTTTTAACCCACCTTATCTTGTTCAGAGCTGTAGAAAGAGGTCAGGATCACAGTGCTTCTTATGTTGGTAGCTTAAAAGACAAAAATTAATTTAAGTGAACAACTATTTAAATATTATATTTTAAAAAATGCAAACTTACCTAATGAACAATAGTGAATTAGTTCATGAGGTCAAGTTAAAGTTTATCCTTTACACCACTTTTAAAAACATTTGGCCAAAGTGCTGTAAATGCTGTAATAAAATGAATAATAACTCAATCCTTGTTGAGTTTTAAAGAAAATCAGAGCCTGGATCTGAGCTTTATATACAGCACAATGAGAAGTTCATTGATGACAGAACAGCATAAGAAAAGCTCAAAAACGCACAAAAAAACAAATAAAATTATTAAAATAAATATTAAACTTAGGAAAACATGTTGAAACTGGGAATTTTTCAGTTAATTAACATAAAACTAAATTAAAAAACATACCAATTCAGACACAAAAAGATTCCTAACATCTCCAAGAAAAGTTAAGATTTGAACTAAATGTTAAAATATGTCAGTGGGAGTTCAGTTATCTGTTAATGTTCTGTAACTGAATAAAAAAAACAGTTTCAAAATTTAAAAAAAAAATCATTTTTTGTTCTCTGATTTTTAATGAAGTTGTTTCCAGAAGGCTGTTAGAGCATCCTGACGGTGACTCATTTGCATCTTTAAAGATGTGCCTGAAACTCAAAGTTGTGTTTAATTGTGTAACTGTGTTCAGAAGTTGTGTTTAATTGTGTAACTGTGTTCAGAGCTGAAACCATCATTTGTCCTGTGTTTGTTCCAGATGCTATAATAACGTTTAGTGGAGGAGTTTTGACAGTTTATGGCCCAAATGAAACAGCTTCCATCTTCGCCACATATCCAACAGAATACCTGACGTTAGGCCGCAGTTTTCTGGACCAAGTAAGTTTGGTTAAAGTCCCCCAGCCCCCCCACCAACCCCCCCGTTTACTGACAGCAGGTGTGTGTCGTCAGGTGGTGGGCACAGGTACGCTGATGTTGTGCATCCTGTGTCTGGAGGAAAAGAGGAACACCCCGGCTCCCTCGGAGCTCATCCCTGCCATCGTTGCTGTGATCGTCCTCGGCATCTCCATGTCCATGTCTGGGAACTGTGGCGCCGCCATCAACCCTGCTCGAGACCTGGGGCCCCGCCTCTTTACGCTCAGTGCAGGCTGGGGCACCGAAGTCTTTACGTAAGACACACACACACACACACACACACACACACACACACACACACACACACACACACACACACACACACACACTGATTCAACCAGAGATTACAGTTCAGGGACTACTTTCAGAAGCTGCAGTCAGAATTCTGTGAAAAACAAAAACATTTTCTGTCAAGTTTTTTTCTTTTTTGAGCTTTTTTTATTTAAAATAACTACTTCTGCAGACTTTGTGCTGTTTCACTCATTTACATGTCAAAAAGTTCAGCTTATTCAGTAAACTGGTCGTATTTTTGCAATTCTTATTCTTAAAAATAAGAAGAAAAAGGCGCAGATACTATAAGATTTTTTTTCTTCTTTCCGCCACCTTTCATTTTATTTGTGATTTGTATTTTTATTGTACATAAATTTTGTTATTTTTAAAGAAATTAATAAAGTTTAAAGAAAAAAACAAAACATTTAAAATTATTCACACATATGATCTCCATAGAAATACATTTAGATCTATTTTCTGAAATCTGCGTTGGTTACTTTCTCTGTATTTGTCTTATGCTATACTTTTAGCAAACAGTTTGCCATTTTTAGCTTTTAGCTTCCATTCTGCTACTTTATCTTTGAACTTCTAGCCGTAGTTAGACTATGTTTAGCCTTTAGCTGGTGTTCTGCTGTGTTTAGCTTTGAGCTACATTGTTCTGCTCCTTAACTTCCAACTATAGCCTTCAGCCAAGGGCGTAATCACCATCTTAAAAGTGGGGGGGACATGTCCCACCCGGTGCCCCTTTAGCTACTTTTACTTTTGTCAGTCATTTACTATTTTACTTAATCTTCTGCTTTAGTGCCTAGAAACCATTTAGCTAATTTAGCTTTTAGCTAGACTTGTGCTACTTTTAGCTAGTCTTTTGCTACTCCTGTATTTAAGCTAATTTCCTTTTTCTATTTTTGAACTTGTGTTTTGTACTTTAAGCTTTTAGCTTTTATTCTGCTACTTTTTTAACAACTCAGTTTTAGCTTTCATCCAGTTTATGGCTGATTTATTGGTCTCTGATCTTTTCTCTGGTCTGAGCTCTAAAAAACAATTTATTATTATTATTATTATTATTATTATTATTATTATTATTTAATCATCTTTAAATAAATACTTTACATTTTTGAAAGTGTGGTTTAGGTTAGGAATAGTTAGTTAATATCTTACCTGTTGTAGATAGTTTCTAATTTAACAGAAAACAAGATCTTGAATTTGTTTTAAGTAAAGTTGTTAATATGTGAAATTGCTTCTCAGGTGTTACAACTACTGGTTCTGGGTCCCGCTGGTGGCCCCTCCCATCGGAGCTGTTTTAGGTTCGTTCATGTATTTGATCTTCATCCACTGGCAGCTGTGTGACCCAGAACCCCCTGAGAACCTCCCTGAAGTCCACACCACCAGCGACAAAACCAGGAAGCACATCACCAGCTCAGAAAAAGGAGATGAGTTAAAGACGGCACATTTTTAATTGTTACAGCAATTTAAAAACAAACAAACAAACAAAACAAAACCTTTTTGATTATAAAAGACTGTTTTACCTGTTACCTGTTTTTCTCAGCTGTAAAAGTGTGGAGTTAAATTGAGGTCATAAGTTTTGATCAAAATAAAAAATTGAAACTAAAAGACAAGATGTTTTAAACTTTTCCAGATTGTTTTTCAGTTTCAAATATTTTTTTCAGTTTAAAATATATATTTTTTCAGTTTCAAAATTATTTTTTCAGTTTCAAATCAACTTTTTTCAGTTTAAATTTTTTTTATTTTGAACAAAACTTATGATCCCATTTTAGCTCCATATAAATGGGTAACATCTAATTTCATCTGTTAAAAACACCTTCACATCTTTTAGGAATGACTAAAGTCATTAAAATAATATTTCATTATATTTTATTATAACTTTTATAAAGTGTAATTAGCTAAAAGGAAATTTTTCAATAACTGCAATTTTTGATATACAGTATTAATAAACTGATTTGTTACTTTAATGAGTTGTTTAGTTTGTAATGAAATGCCTTTTTAAACACTGTGTTAAACAACAATAATATTACCAGTTAATGACTGTTTTATTCAGTAGAAACGGTGTTCATTCACTGCAGCGTTTCAGGACTGTAAATAAAACTATTTTTATTGTTTACTTTTATTATGCAGGTTTTTATTTTAGATATGTTTTTTATTTTGTTTTATACATATATATATATATCACACTGAAGATCAGGTTAATGTCTTCAATCTGTTCGAGGCCTCTGTTGTGACAAAATATATTAATTTGGGTGACAGCTCATCAGATATGAATTTCCCCCTAAATCTGTCACAGTTTTCTTTTTTATTGGGGTAATTAAACGAATAATAACAAAATAATCCATTATCTCACAAAACTTTGAGTATGAAGTACTGTAATATTTCAAAAAGTAATTTTGAGTAAGAAGAAGACAGGGAGAGATGTGTGTGTGTTAATGTGACAGCAGGGGGCGCTGTGACACAAAATAAACTGACGAACAGGAAACGTCGCTTTTTCTGCGACTTTTCGAAACTTTTCAGAATTAAATCCGGTTTTACATGTTAAAATAAACATTAGTAAATTTAAATCTGTAGCTACTTTCTAGACTTATTTTAAAACTGTGAGAGGAGCAGGAAGTTCAGATGAGAGGTGGTGAAGGAGGTGCAGCTCCTCCTCCTCCTCCTCCTCCTCCTCCTGAGCCAGCAGAGCATCTCTGGTGTCTGGTTCCAGACCAGTCCGGACCTGAACACCATGACCTCCAGATGCAGAGAGTTTCCAGCAGAAACCAGTTTGTAACTCCCAGCTGAGGAGGTAAGATGTGTTGGTTTCTTTACAGCTTCTCATCTGTCATAAATAAATAAATAAATAAATATTTATATCCTGGGTGTTTTTCACATGCAGGAGGATTTTATTGTTTTATTTTTTCTTGAAAAAGCCTCAGTTCTGTTACAGTCATTTGAAAAGAAGTTAACATTTCCTAAACTCAAAGTTTATTTTGTGACTGTTGATCAGATGTGTCTAATTTAGGCTTTTAGTTGTGTTAAAACATTTAGCCTTCAGCAATGACTGAACTACAAAAACAGCTAAAAGCTAAATGTCTCAAAATGCTAGCTAAAAGGTAACAAACAATAGCAAAAAAATAGCTTCAAGTAAAAAAAATCTAGCAAAAAGCTAAATGCCAACTAAAACTAAAATAGCTGAAAGCTAACAAAAGTGAACAAAGTGCTAGCTGAAAGCTAAAACCTGTCAGCGCTGTCATAAAATAAAAACAAAACTAAAAACTACAAATCATAATGCTAGCTAAAAGTAGAAAAATGCTAACTAAAAAATAAATAAAATAAAAACTAGCTGAAACATAAACGTCCTAGGAAAAATTTGTGAAAAGTAGGTAAATGCTAGCTAAAAGATAAAAAATAACCATAACTTCAATAAAAAAAATATCTAAAACCAAAATGGAGCAAAATGTTAGCTGAAACCTAAAGGTAGTAAATGCTAAGCTACATGCTAAAAGTAAAAATGACTTAAATCAGCGAGTGACAAAAATCAAACGTCCCTTCTCCTGAACAAGTTGAACTTTTTCATCTATAATCTGATGAATACCACAAACTGCAGAAGTAATTATGCCAAGAAACATGCCAGAATATTTACAACAACAATAATAATAACAAAAAACCCAGGAGAATAACAAACACTAAAATAGTTTAGCTATAATTTATTTTTAATTTTGTTGTGTCTCTTTTTAAAGTTTTCCCTGCTGGTTTCCAGTAATTAGTCTGTAGTTTATGACGTGTAGATGTTACAGGATTACAACACGAGTGCTTTTATTTTGGAGGGATTGTATTAAAGAGGAATGAAATTGAACTCAGCGTTCCTACAGACTGTTCATTGATTACCTGTTCCTAAAATAAAACATCAATACGTTTTATACTTGAACACAAGATATTCATTGTAACGGCAACATTTCATTTATCCTTTAACAAAGATGCAGTTTGTTATCAGAGGAGGTTAAGTTTGTTCTTTAATGAACATTAAAACACATCTCAGTGTTTGTTTCAGTTTGATGCTCTTGTGTTTTCTTGTAAAAATGAAACTCACTGTGGTTTCTGGTATTTTCTAATAGGATGTCAAACAAACAAAAATAAGAAGTGGTTTCACCAGAGGAAATAAAGACATATAAAACACTGTACAGCAAGAAGACAAGAGCTGCTGTATGAAGAGTTAACACAAAAATAAATCTGACATAAAGACATAAATGCTCATTTATTACTTTAAACATGAAGCTTAATTTTCAGTAAACCATGTCTGCTCTGTTTATTTCTAACATTTAAATTTGTATGTGGCCTCTTGGGAAAATAGTTTCCTGCTCTAATTACTCTAAAGTAAGAAAGATGAATGAATTTCTGCCTGAGCGTGAAAAAAGTGAAAAAAGTGCTCAGTTTGTTTGTTTTTGTCAGTTTGCTCTGGTTTTTCCTCCCACCTGCAGCAGTCAGTTGTGAGTGGTTCTGTTGGGTTCTGCAAGGTGCCAGGTGTAGGTTCTGAGAGCAGGAGGGCTGTGGTACCGTCTGACGAGCAGAGAGAAGTGAGACAAACTCTCACTTTCACTCTGAAGAGAAGAGACAACAAGCTGACAGACATGAGAGGACTTTAATTCATTTACTGAACGTCCACATCTGAAAACCTCATCTCGTCTTCAGTTCAGCTCTTTTCAGGTTGATCTAAAGATCGCTGTTTAAGAAATGAAGATGCAAAATTTTTACCCGTTTTTAATAATGTCTGATTAAAGTTTGTGCTTTTACTTTTTAAAAACAGCAGATATTTGTGACCCGTCACATTTAAACCAGGATTAAGTCCAAAAGTTGTATAAGGAGAAAAAGAAAAAGGCAAATGTAGTGTTTAGACTAAAATGTTAACAAAAATTGCATTTTGTCAAAATATAATGAATAAAAGCCTTATTAATGTATCATTTGAACGAACTGTCTGAAACATAATCATAAAACTAAAATTTGAAGCACTTTTTTGAGCAGTAGCAACAAAAAACTGATTTTGAGGAAAAAAACTTAAAATTTAGAGATTTTTCCTGTGAGTTAGTAAAGTTTTGTTTCTTTTTATCTGGTAAATCTCAATATTCAAATATAATTTGAGGTTTCCTCTTTATAAGGACATCAAAAATTCCTCATTAAAATGTCATAAAATTAGGATTCAGACCAAATATTTATGTATTATTGTAACCAACAAGACAAATTAAGTCATATACATGGATTTAATAATGATATCAGGATGATCCAGGTATCAAAATGTAGCTTTTAAAGACAAGAATCTGAAAATGTAATTAGGTCATTTTGAACTAATTTGACTTAATCCTCAATTTGATATGATGGCTCACATTTGTGTTTGTTTGATTTTTGCATACATTTTTAATACTTCTTACATCCAAAACATTTAATGTTTACATTTTCAGTCTATAGCCTTTGTTCATTTGCAGACTTTTTATGCAATTTTCTGAGTTTTTGACATGAGATAACTTTAAGACGCTCATATTTTTAGAAGTGTTATTGCACATTAAACTTAAACAGTCATTTAAGACTTCAGGGAGGGTTTTACTATTAAAAAATGACTTTAATTTGCTTTCAGAGCTCGTCTCAAACTAAGTTTCCTGCTCTCAGTTTGACGTCCACGCGTCCTGTTTTTGAACAGTCACAGTATTTATGAGGAAACAGCTTCATTAAAACATTTTGCTTCTTCTAACTTCCAGATTAATGTACAGCTGCTCTGAGGAGATTAAAGTTTCAGATTATTGGCTCAAACTTTCAATTTTTAATAAATCAGTCTTTAGGCCTTTGAAGTTATCACCCATCTAATATATTGTTGTCATGGTCTGTGTTTATTTTCCTTAGTTTTCTAGTGTTTTCAGTGTTCCCCTGTGTTTCTCTGCCCTACAGCCCCACCCTCTCTCACCTGTGTCCTTTTGTGTCTGCTCCAGGTGTGTCTTGTTGCCCTAATTAGTTTGCCTTTATATGCTGTGTCCTGTCTTCAGTGTTTGTCCGATCATTGTGCTGCTTCCCTCAGCCAGTGAGGTGTCCTGTGTGTTCCTTGTTGTTCCAAAGAGTTTTGCTGCACTGTCAGCTGTTTATTTTMYWTTTRRWAAWWAA